GTGTGATATTTTGTTGAATAATATGTGTGAGTGTTTCAATAGCTTCATATTGGATGCAAGAGAAAAACCAATTATCTCTTTGCTTGAATCTATTAGAAACCTCTTGATGACAAGAATTCAGATAAATAGAGAAAAAGCACTTAAGTGGGATGGTCCTCTCTGTCCTAAGATTAAGCAAGTGTTGATGAAGACAATGAAAGAAGCTGGAGAGTGCATTCCAATAAGGTCTGATGAGTGGAATTTCCAAATTATGGGACCTTCAACTCAGCACAGTGTTGATGTTAGAGAGAGGAGGTGCAGCTGCAGGAAATGGGATCTCACTGGAATCCCTTGTAAACATGCATGTTCTGCTATCTGGTGCAGAAATGAAGATCCAGAATCTTATGTGCACAATTGTTACAAAGTGGAGACCTATCTGAAATGCTATGAAACTCCTATCTTTCCTTTAAATGGACCTGAATTGTGGCCTGCCAGTACAATAGAGCCTCCATTACCACCCAATTACACAGACAAAGTAGGTAGGCCTCAAAGAATTAGGAGGAGAGAAGCAGATGAGCCACCTGTTGCAAAAAATCCTCATAGGCTGGTTGGAGTTAAAAGATCAAACAAGTGCAGAACATGTGGAGGCACAAACCACAACTCTAAAACATGCAAAAAGAGGAAGTTTTCACAGGTTCAAGAAGGGAGCAAGGGTGATGGTATGAGTGCTGAGCAAGGAAACCAAAGGAATGAAGTTGAAGCTTCAACTCAAGCTTCAGTTTCAACTCCACAAGTACCACAACCACCAATTCAGACTGCAAAAGATAAAGAAAAATTACAGGTTTATAATTGTATTATTTTTTTTAATTTCAATATCTCAATTTATATAATATATAAAATTTCAATTATGCAAGTTATTTGTTCAAAATTGCAGTTTAGAAGACCTTAGAAGAAAATGACAGTAACAGGCAGAAGAAACATAATTGGATCCTTTAAGGTATTTAAATTAATATTTTCATAATTATGTTTTTTTAATAAATATTTATATTAATTTATATTTTTTTTTATTAATTACAGCCAAGTCAATCTTCTCCAACAATCCAGGCTCCAATGATTGTAAAAGGAGGTGTTAATTTCATAACACTATCCAATTTAGCATCATCAGTGACCAATCAACTGAAGGGAAACTCAGGCTCTGAAATTTGTGCAAGTTCTTCTAAGTCAGCCTCTGCATCCATCACAAATTCCAAGACATCTTCCAAGTCAGTAGTTGCTTCCAAGGCATCTTCCAAGTCAGTAGTTGCTTCCAAGTCAGCCTCCAAGATGAAGAAGTGATCAAGTTTGAACAAGATTGTACTTTTGTTATTTTGTTTGTTTGTTAGCTAGTTTGATGTTTGAATGTTGAATATTTGGTTGTTTAATGTTTGATGGTTTGTTAGGATTTGAACACAGTTTGATGGTTTGTTGATTTGTTTGGATTTGAACACAGTTGGTTTGTTTGAGATGTTTGATTTGTTTGAATTTGAACACAGTTGGTTTGTATGAGATGTTTGATGACTCTTTTAAGTTATTGAATGTTTGAAAGCTTAATTATGTATGAGATGTTTGATGACTCTTTTAAGTTATTGAATGTTTGAAAGCTTAATTATGTATATATAAGTTCTATAATTGATCAATACATACAAGGTACAAGAATCATCAAATGACCAATACAAGAATCACTACCAAATTCACCAAACTCAAGAATTATTACTAAATTACCAAATTCACCATTACAAGAACTTCTAACAACTGAAAATTGATCAGTCAATTACTACTACCAAATTCACCAAATTCACCAAAATTCAAGAACTACAACCAAATTACCAAATCCACCATTACAAGAATTCCAATTCCTAACAGCTGATAATTAACCATAAACAAAACATTAGAAACAACATCCACATTCAAACAAAACATTACATATACCCCCTTTCTATGCCAATTTTCATGACATATATGGCAATGAACAGAAGTATGACCATAAAGACTCCAACTTGCAACTTCATCCTCTTATTGTACATTGCAATCAAACCCTCCAGTTTCTTGGCTCTTTTCTGAATAATCCTTCTTTCCTTTGCAAGTTCACCTTCTAGCTTGTTCAATTTTTCTTCTTTCTCTTTGTAACAAGCCACTTCACCTTCAACTTGGTTCAATATTTCTTCTTCCTCTAGTTTGTTCACTCTCCTAAGCAGTCCGGGGATAATCATCTTGGATCTACCACATATTTCAGGATCCAACCACTTGAATACACCACAATAGGTTGATTTCTGTAACGAATCCCAAAACTTGAATCAAAAGAACGCATTTAACCCCAAAATTTGTTCAAGCTTGAAATAACAAATCCAATATAATGTAATGAACAAATAAAAGGAAAGCATTTTACCCCATAATTTGGGCAAGCTTTGTATCTTCTCCCTGGATTGTCTGGCGTCCATGACGTAATCACTGGCAAACGAAATCCACATTTACAATTGATTGTGTAAAATGTTGAATGAGCATCAGAGCTCGTTGAGGATGAGCTCCGACAGCCATAATTAGATCCTTTACTCATATTTTATGCTACATCGAAAACATTGAGGTGAAATCAACACTACAAGTACACTAATTACCAAAATCGAAAATTGTTCAAATAAATAGAGGAAACTTACCAAATCGAAAATTGTTTTGCAATTGTGACGCTTTAACTACTCGGAGATTCAAAAACTTGGGAAGACGATTATGCTATTTTGGAATTTCAACTCAATTGAAGGATTCGAAATGGGGTTTTAGGGCTTCGAATTACGGGTTAATTGGGGCATATGGAGAATTAGGGATTTTACAATAGAAATAGGGGAGGAGAATGACGTGTCGCTCCACATCACTCTTTGTCGGCCAAGTAGGCACTGGGTTTTGAACAGCTCGACATTTAACGGCCACATAGACGTCACGTGAGCCACGCGTGCAATTTCTGTCGATGTTAGCTGCCGACGTTAACGGCAGAACATAAAGTGATCAAAAGTGGCAAGTTTAAGGACATATATAGCGGATTGAAATGTTTGGGGACATAAATCGTTTTAGTGGTAAAGTTTAGGGACATAAACTGTAATTTTCCCCAATTAGTACATTATATTTTATTTACAAATATTATTTATTTACAATAAAAATTAATTTGATTTTCAAGATAAATTACGGCCACCACTGATGTATGAAAAAATTATAAAAAAGGACAAAATGCACTTCGCCCCCCTAAAGTGTTTTAGTTTTCGCACCTTCCCCCCCTACAAATTAAAAAATGAGACTCTGCCCCATCCGAATTAGTACATTGTATGTTTCGCACTTTCCGGCGTATTTTTCACTCGTTTTTTCGTATCTCCTTCAACTTGAAAACATTTTTTTATCCTTTCACCAACCCACCCAAATATTATAGCCGTCACTCGCACCAACACAATTCCGGTCAATTTCTCATGCCTAAACATCTCTCTCCGAAGCAACTGCTCAACTCAACTCTGTTGGTCCCGCAGTCGAAATCCGCACTTTATTCCTTCCACAGTAAGTTGGTGGCCACCGGGAAGCTTAATGAGGCACACCAATATGATGCTGCCCACCGCCATGTGGGTTATGATGCCAGCCGTGCCGCCCATCGTCTTTTCCGGCAACACATACTAAATGATCCTTATGACCGCAGCTGATGGCGGTGGCAACACCCCTTCAACCTCCGGCCCATCCGATGCAGCCCAGGTATGCCCGTTCGCCAACCCCCACGACAACGATGGCAGAGGAAACACGGTGCAGGCGTCGCTGCATTTTATGCCGAGGCTCAGTAACTCCGGCAACCTTGATTTCCAAGGCGAATGATCCAGCCCATTGCAGCTTGGATCGATATTGATGCAGCAACAAACGCATAACCCATCTCAGCATCTGGGTTTTCAACGACATTAATATTTGGGTGAGATTAGTGAAAGGACGAAAATGGCCTTCAAGTTGACGGAGATATGAAAAAACCGGTTAACATTACGCTGGAAAGTCGCATTTGGGGCAACTATAACAAAATTTGGAAGGGGGAGAGTCTCATTTTTGAATTTGTAGGGGGAAAAGTGCGAAAACTAAAAATTTCTCGGGGGCGAAGTGCATTTTGTCCTACAAAAAAAAAATCCTCTTGTTTGGGTAATTACAGCCAATCCCCTCCTTTTAAACATTTTTACATAAAATTTATGTAATTTCCTTATTTACCGAATCAAATCGTATATTCAGTTCGGTAAACTGTATGAAATGTTGGCACACCAAAATTTCTTCAGTTTCACTGATTTAACATCCATAAATTTACCTCAAAAGTGGTATTTTCGTAAGATAATAAATACATAGCTGATGGGTGGCTGTAATTACCTAAATAAGAGAGGGTTTTCTTAATTTGGCCATAATTCAGTGGAGACTGTAATTTGCTCTTAATTTTATGAGTTCTCCCCTCCCCCTCCCAGATCAAAACCAATACCGCCACCACTTTTTGGCCAAATTTAATGAGTCAGCCTCCACCATACTTCGGCATCTTCTTTGCTCAACCGCCCACCATTATCCCTGCCCCAACATTTTCTGCAATCGGAATTTGCGGCGGAGAGCTTCTGAAGGTGGAAAATGCGGCGGCCACACCTCACACACAGTGTGTGCGCCCGATTTTTCCCCTTACTAAGTCTCCCGGTTCCCTTCCCAATTGCTATGAAATCGCTGAGCTCTGAAGGTGAAGATATGTTAAAAAAAATTAGAAAGAAGTAGATGAAGAAGAAATCAAGAGCAAGGACACAGGGTTCTTTTTGCAAATAATTTTTTAACATTTTCTGCAATAGGGGTACCATTTGCAATTAACATTTTGTTCTTTTCGTGCAAAATTGTAGGAATAAATTAAAATTAGGGCCAAATCATAAATAATTTTAAGAAAATGGTTGAAATAGCATGGTCACGTGCCTTCACACGCGCTTTTTCCATCTAAACTAACTCGAAAATCAAACGGTGGCAGCAAGCGTAAAAAAATCAATTTTTTGAGGACCAATTTCTTGACAGAAAAAAAATTTAATGACCACAATCGAAAAAGGTATATAATGTAGGGACCAAAACTATAATTCTCCGAAATAGAGTAACTTACCTGACAAGGGAAAATGCAAACTGTCCTATATACATTCACTCAACTCTATAAACTTACATTTTGAAACAGCACCATCAACCAATGTCCAGCCTGGGAATATGCTGTATCTTGACCCAACACTACAACATTTTGGAGCTTTTACGACGCAATTTTTACCAGACGGTTTCATAACCGTCGTATAAAAATGTATTTTTGACGGTTTTATAAGATTCTTGACGCATCGAAACCGTCAAATATATTGGTTATCTTGACACTTTTTATAAAATTGCTACTTTTTATTTTGGGCAAATTACCAAACCCCCCCTGAGGTAAGCCTAAATAACGAAAATCCCCCTCACGTTCTCGTAATTACGAAAACCCCCCTTGACTAACGGTTGACCGAATTTTTTTAACCGAAAACGTGAAATGTCTATTATATCCTTCTGTTAAATATGTAAACAATAAAGGGCAAATTACCAAAACCCCCTGAGGTAAGCCTAAATAACGAAAATCCCCCCTGACATCCCTTTCACTTGATGATTTATTGCTTTTATAAATTTATTTATTACTTTGTAATTTGTATTGATAATTTGATATTATAATTTTTTTATTTTTTTTATTTATATATTTTAATTGATTTTATTTATCCAGAGGAGTATTATACGGATTTATGCTTTTAGCTTGAATGATGCATGGTTGTATTTCTCGAATTGTAAAATATTTAATTTTATATATAAAAAATAATTAAATTTTGAAATCTCATCCATTGATTTTTTTAATCTAATAAAAATACATTGTACGTTCATAATGATTGATTATATTTGGGTTTAATTTAAGAAAAATAAGTATTTTGTAGACACTTATATATTTTATGAAGAATATATATTTATGACCCCCCTCATTAAATAAAATGCTTACAATTACCCCCCTAAGGGTAATTTCGTGTACAAGGGCAAAATTGGTATTATCGGAGGAATATTCGGGAGAATCAAAAAGATTCTATCGAGTTTAACACCGTTAGAGCGATTTGTAAGATGTCTGCATACCTCAGGGGGGTTTTCATAATTACGAGAACATGGGGGGGATTTTCGTTATTTAGGCTTACCTCAGGGGGGTTTTGGTAATTTGCCCTTTTATTTTTGATAAAATAAAATTGCTACTTAAGATTACCCGTTTAATGTTTTATAAAACGGCTAATTAAACGATTTAAATTAAAAACACAATCTTATATTACAAAATATAAAAAAAATAAAAATTTACTCTCCAGCTCTAAACAACGCAATTAGGGCTTTTTCAGCAGTACCATCGCCGGTGCTACAACACCTCCACCGTCCAGCTTCAACTGCCCGCGATTGCTGCGACTGCACCGCGACCTTTACCACCGTGCCGAGAGTGCTGCCGCCGACGCACAATCGCTTCCACCGACGCACAATCGCTTCCACCGACTCACATCCGCTTCCACCGTCGCACATCCGCTTCCATGGTCGCACAACCGCTTCCGACGCTTCCATGGTACCATTACGAATTCGAGGCATAAATTGGAATTAGGTATGACATAATTACATATACATCTCTTCCAATTACGCTTGGTGTTATTTTTTGGCTTGATTGGGTTTTGATATAGTGGGTTTTCTACAAATTAGCTATGTAATTCATATGGTTCAGAAAAATCAAAAAAACTGTAGTGAAAATGCTTGTGAATTTATACTAATAAGTCAGATTATATATAAATCTCTAAATAAGTTTTTAATTCTAATGCTGATATTTGATAGTACAATCTGCCAGCATATGATTATATTTAATTTATTCATATGGTACTGTTGTAGAACCATTAGATATTTAGAGGTAGATATTAAAGCATAGTTATATATATGACCAAATAAATCACAATTGAATCATTTTATATTGTTTTTTTAATAGTTAGATTGTCCACTTTCTAACATTTTGATTACAAATTTTGCAGTTATTTTTCAATATCAGCGAGGTTAAAACAGTTTTCCAGAATCAACTCAAGGATATCAAGAATCAACTCAAGCCATCTTTCGAGCTTTTGAAAAATGGTGAAAATCAAGTGGAAAATCAATTAACATTTATACTGAACTTTATTTTACAACTTGCATATCATGGATAAAAGCTGGATTAAAATTCGAAACCGACTCCTGTCCGAGTACATAAATGGTGTCAACGCCTTTCTTAAGTTTGCATATAGGAATGGGAGTTTAGGTGATGAAATCAAGTGTCCGTGCACTAAATGTCATAATTTAATCAATAGAAAAAAGGAGATTATTGCTTGTTTTCAAAATGTGTTGAACTTAATCTGATCTTTGGTTCTTTTAATTTCATACAGGTGAGCTAGCATTGATGTAGAACCATTTCCAAGGGTAAGGCTGTTAATTGTTATCAAAGATAAGGCAGTAACCCATTCCGAGTAAGATTTTTCTCTATCTAATGGAAGAGTTAAAAGAGTTAGCAAACTTAGTCTATAAACTTCATCATTCATACAGATATATTATCGCTTTATCCTTAAATTTTGGCCAGATTACCAACAAAATTTTGCTTTTTAGTTTACAACTCAAGTGTTTGGTTTTGTGCTATTATTTTTGCATATTTGATGATTAATTCTCTGAATAAGGTCTTCATCAGATGATTCAAGAATTTTGGGGTTTTAGATTTTCTGCACATGAATTTTATAAGCTTTAAAAACATGAATTTTGATTATTTTGTTTCTGCTATGAATTCTAATTCGTAAAAAAATGTTCTTAAGAAATCTATTTCGTTCACACATGCTATGAATCGTGGAAAGCGCCAATGCAAATCTATCTCAGAAGGAGATGGAGAATTTAGCTTATTTTTTTGTCTTTGTCGAATTTTGCAGACTGAGGTTAAATTCTTAGGTCAGCTTCAACACGAGAACTTGGTTAAGCTGATCGGGTATTATTCGGAATCTAAAAACATAATGCTTATTTACGAATTCATGCCTAAATGAAGCTTGGAGAATTACTTGTTCAAGAGTATGTTTTTTTTTTCTAAGATCGAAATATCGAAAAATTGAAAAGCGGTGTGGAAATAGGAATTGATTTGCTTTCGCCTGTACTGGAGGAGTACAGCCGATGGCATGGTGTACGAGAATGCAGATAACGATTGATATTGCGAGAGGATTGACGTTCTTCCATAGTTTAAATGCCAACATAATTTACCGCGATTTAAAGGCTTCCAATATTCTAATTGATTCGGTACGTTTAAAAGTACTTAAATTTTTTTGAATATGGTGTGTCATTAGTGAGTTTGATTCGTGTAGGTAGTGACATTCTTGAATCTCTGCAGAAGTTTCGTGCGAAGCTTTCGGATTTCGGGCTCGCAAGAAACGCCATCATCATCTCATTCTCATATTCCACTTAATGGTGATGCTGGATTTATGGTGTCTGATAGTGACGCAGATGAGGCTTCATAGACGCCACCTGGTAAAATATTACTTATTTTAGTTATAATGCTATATTTTTCACAAAAATTTCAATATTTTATAACTTTCAAATATTTAGGAATGAGTGAGAAAACAACAAAAAAGGGTCGAGGTAGAACAAAAATGATCAAGTCATGGGGTGATGAAAATTTTGAGGTTCAGATTAATGACCTTAATCAAGCCATAGGAGAGAATGCAGCAAAACTCTCGAGGCAAATGGGTTGTGTAGCAAAGAATGGCAGTCGATTTCCTCTTACGGTTACAGATTCGAGGAAAATTGACAAATCGAGCAAGGAAATAACATGGTTGGAGAACAAGGTAATCTTTCTACTCTCAGTATATTATCTTACATTCTCTCTTTGGTTAGTCATCAACACCTTATTTGTCTTTTAATATTTGGTTATAGGCAAACTTCTCGCTTGAAGATAATTTAAAAAAATCAGTTCTTAAAGAAGTTGGGCGTAATGTGGAAGAATCGGAAATCAGAGGTAAAATTTTATTATTCTATGCATGAGACGGATGTCGACCGATTGACTAATTGTCCTGACCTTGTGGAAAAAGACCAATGGCCTACTTTAGTTCATTATTGGAGTTCTAGTAGTGTAAAACGTGACTTTAGTCTGGTTCGAATATGACTATTGTTGATTCACTCGATTAGTGATTTATTAATTTCTCGTATGTTACCCGAATCACCAATACGAGCTTTTTTCACAAAGAATGGAAGGGCCTCCATTGTACAACCAAAGAAGAGGTAGCTAAGTTTCTCGTTGTATTATACAGAAGAATGAAACTTTATTTTATCTAGTTCGATATTTGTTTTTTTTCTTCAGATCTATCCATCACCACCATCGTCGCAGCCTCTCTTACTCTCGCTTTCGTTCACCGCCGCCACCGCCGTTGTCGTGAACTCCCCTCCCTCTCTTTTGTTATATTTCTCTCTCTATTTGTGTATTTTTCGATTTTTTTTTCCTTCAGATCTAAACTAGGAGAAGTAACATGACTATAGTCATATTCGACATGACTATAGTCATATTCGAATTTTTTTTTCTCCAGATCTGAACTAGCAGTAGTACTATGACTACCGTCATATTCGAATATGCCTACTGTTTGAATATGACTGTAGTCATATTCAAATATGTTCCATATTTTCGTTTCAAGTTGACTTGCAATAACATTCAAATTGTGATTTTTTGTGTGGATGTTTTTCGTAACAATAGGCAATCTTCGTTTTTTATATATAATTTTGTAAACATGACTCTACTACATTATATAATCGGAATTTATAAATTGAAAATATAAAAAACTGCAATATAAAAGAAAAAATATGACTACAGCGATATAGTCATATTCACCCATAGCATATTCGGCAAAGTAAATAAGTTGAGAAAAAAAATAAAAAAAATATTCTACGTAAGAGTGGGAGAATACACCAGTAACCCTACACGTTATTTCATGTTACTGCTACACGTTAGGTTCAATTTTTTTTACTAGCGAAATAATAAAAAATAAGAAATAGAAAAAGCAAATAAATCCGAAATAATAAAAAATAAAAAATAAAATATTTAATTTCTTTATTTATTTTTGATTTGGTAGCATATTTTTAGGAATTTGGAAGCAGATTTTTAGGGAATTAAATTGTTGTTATGGAAAGAGAAAAAAAATGAATAATTGAGACAAATTATGCTAATTGACAGAAGGGTATTATTGGGAATACAATTTCTAGGGGTTATCACAAAGAAAGATTTACGGGTGAACATATCACCATTTTTATATGAGGGGCATATTGCTAATGACCCCTTATAATATTAATTATCCTATTATTTAATATTGAATATTTTTTGGTATATTTCCTGGAAATTGAGTTGGCTTTGTAAGTTATAGATGCGACCTTGGGTTAGTTTTAATTCCTCGATGAGTTTGTACATGTATGGGTTACTATTTTTTATTCTTTTTGTTGTTAAATTTTGGGTTTTTACGGTATACAGTATGAAAATTTTAGTATTGTTTTCATGAGTAAATTACAATCACCCCTAGGGTATAGTTAAATTACAAAACCTCTCCTCCTGTTTGGGTAATTACAAAAACCCCCCTTAACTATAAATCTTCTTACACACCCACCCTTGCGGTTTCAAATTTAGTGGAATCTTCGAGAATACATGGAATATTATCACTTTTGTACCCGTTTTATCCAATTCAAACTCCACATTTTGAAGCAAGCTGATCGTAATATGTGTTTTTTGACTTGTATATATCAGATTGTGGGGCATCAGAAATCGTATTATACAAAACGAGTACAAACTAGAGCACATTCCACAAAATCTAGATAATTATGTTGAATTGAACACCATAAGGGTGGAGATGTAAGAAAAAATCATAGTTGAGGGTAGATGCAATTATCCAAACAATAGGAATTTTTTCGTAAATTGACCATACCTCAGGGGTGGTTGTAATTTACCCTTGTTTTTCATTTATTGTTTACACAGTTAACACCGTTCTTAATAGTAAGCATATGTTTGTACTAATAAAATCATCAATATATCCAAATATGCTGCTTCAATTAACATTTTTTGGAAGACATGTAAATTCCGAATTAAGTTGAACTTTACTAAGCATCAATTTTTATCCCGCACAAGTCTAATTACTAGTTAGTATTAGTAGGATTATGATTAGTAGTTAGTAATAGTATTAGAATTATAATTAGTATTAGGACTTGGATTAAGATTATAATTAATATTAGTATTAGTATTATTATTATTAGTGTTAGTATTATTATTGATATTAGTATATTACTATTAGTATTAGTGATACGTGGTATTCTTCCTTTCATGTTCAACACATCGTTCTGTCAAGGTAGTGGCGCATATGTCTCATCTCTTTTGCAACATTTATAAGTTGTATTGTTCTTTGAGTAATGTGCATCACTAATTGAATGCCGTTAGTGATAAACTTGCAGGTTATTTGAATATCTTTTGTGTTACTTCTCTGCTAACGTGTTTGTTCTTAAGTCAGTTATTTTGCATAAGATTCATATAGTGTAGTAGATTGCATTCCATGAAATAGAGTTATACCATATAAGTTATACATTTTTTACAAAAATGTCTTAATTATTATGAGTAGATTATATAATAAATTATCATAGAAATAAGTAAAATTTTGATTAAACAAATTTGATAAATTAAAAAAAAATATATCAATACTCAATTTTTTTTTCTTTAGTTTTAGCACATATCTATTGAGAATAAGAAGAAAGAACCATATAGTAAATTTATGTTAATTCATTTATAATATATATAACCAACCCTCATTAGGAGAGTTGGTACCTAACCTTACCAATAGGGTAAAAGGTCTAGGGTTCGAGTCCCCCCTCCCCTACTTCCCCTTGTAATGACTTGAATTACTCAAAAAAAAATTTATAATATATATATATAAAAAAAAACGTCCTTTTATAGTTATGGTGGCAAAAAGGCCCATCACATGGGACTTAAATGCATTTTATTCCACAAAAAAAACAGTCTCTCAATTAAGCCCATCCCCATGTCTTTAGTCTAAAATACCCTCAATAATATAATTCTTATCAATTCCACCCATTATGCTCTAACTTCCTTAATATTACACATTGACCCCGAATTTAAACAAATATATCACATTAACCCCCCATTTTTTTTTAGAAAATAATTTTTTTTCCGGCCAGATTCCGGCGTTGACTTTTTTTTTTTTTTTTTGAATTTTTTTTTCCTGAAATTTTTTTCCGGCCGGTCAACCACCGTTGACCGCCGGTCTCCGGCGTTGACTTTTTTTTTCTTTGAATTGCTTTTTCTTAGAAAAAAAATATTTTAATTAATATAACTGTCTTGGCTACTAAATTACTGTCTCAGATAGTAATATTACTGTTTGGGACGGTAATATTATGAATATTATTTTTCCGAACAGTAATATTATTAATATTATTGTCTAAGACAGTTAAATTACCGTTGGAGACAGTAATTTAATATTCAAGGCAGTAATATTAATTAAAATATTTTTTTTAAGGAAAAAAATTAAAAAAAAAAGTCAATTAACAGTTAAATTACCGTCTCCGACAGTTAAATAACTGCCGTAGACAATAATTTAGCAACGAATATAGTAATATTAATTAAAAATATTTTTTTATGAATAAAAAAGTGAATTAACAGTTAAATTATTGTCTCCGACAATTAAATAACTGCCGGAGACAGTAATTTAGCAACGAGTACAGTAATATTAATTAAAATATTTTTGAAGAAAAAAAAAACGAGTCAATTAATAATTAAATTATTGTCTCTGACAGTTAAATAGCTGCCGGAGACAGTAATTTAGCAGCCAAGACAGTAAAATTAATTAAAATATTAATTAAAATATTTTTTTTAAGAAAAAAACAAAATTATATATAAAAAAAAAAAAGTCAACGCCGGAGACCCGGCGGTCAACGGCAGTTGACCAGCCGGAAAAAAATTTCAGGAAAAAAAAAATTCAAAAAAAAAAAAAAAGTCAACGGCGGTCAACGGCGGCTACCGGCGGTCTCCGGTGGTGGCGGGTCAAAATTGGGGTCTAAATTGAAATTATGGTTAAAATTGGTTAATTGATAAAATTGGGCTAAATTGGGGTGTAAATCATGAAATTGGAGTTAAATTGGGTTTCAATGAATTTGGGGGTAATTTTGGTATATATAAAATGATTTTCCTTATTTGCAAATAAGTTTAAATGAACTGGATTTATTTGAAAGACAAAAAAGTTAGATGTCCCTCTTTTAATTAAATGCCTTTGTCATGTGCCTATTTGTCATTACCCCTATAGTTAATTTTAAAACATTAATTAAAAGAATTTTTTAGATATTTTATTTGTACACAAATTCATTGTTAACGTGTCAAATATTACTTCTGTTGTTATTTGGTAATAAGCTTTAGCATGTGATATTTTCCCTTTTTTTTAAAGTTTTTAATTCCAAATTATACTTGAACTCAACTTCTTTTTACTTAATTAATAGATTAGAACTAGGTTTCCTTTTGAATAATTTCCCGTCCTTATATATAGATGCTACCCACATCTCTTCTCTTCAAAACATCAATTTTCATACTTCGATCTGAATATTCCTCACCAAACTTCATCAATCTCTCTATTATTTTATCTCCGATGGCCATGTCTACAACTCAAGCTCGCCGAAATCTTTTCTCGGTCCCTTTTTACAACGAATGCATCCACGTAACAGTAACAAAAGAGGCCCGACAAGTACATGAATGGATTCTTTCGATATGCAGTATTCACATCGATTTCTCGAAGAATCTTTTAATAGGTCTTGATACCGAGTGGCTGCCAAATCTAAACCCAGGCGAAAACCACCCTATCGCTATACTCCAACTCAGCATCGGCAACCGGTGCCTCATCTTTCAACTTCTTCACGCAGATTTTATTCCGGTTTCGCTCCACGCCTTTTTAGCCGATCCTCGCCACACGTTTTGTGGGGTCGGTATCAAAGATGACGTGGACAAATTATACGATCATCACAAATTACGCGTGAGAAAAATTGCGGACCTCAACGATCTTGCAAGACTGGCGACGATCAACAGCCAAAGTGGAAACGCAGGGTACAAGTACATGGGATTGAAGAAGATGGCGTATGCGGTTCTTGGAAAGAAGATGGAGAAACCATTGAACGTGACGCTCAGTAAGTGGGACGCTGTGGAGCTCGATCGGGATCAAATTGAATATGCAGCCATTGATGCGGTAGTTTCTTACCAACTTGGTTATACACTGTGCTCGCCGATTTATCGTCCGCAGCCAGGCTTTATCGTAGTTGGACGACCTGGATTGTTA